TTCTTTTCAGTGAACATCCTTCAGTTCTCTGGCTGGCTCCCAGTAAGTCTATGTTAGATTAAGCAATTCACTGTAGATTAACTCTCTGGTTTCTGAGTTCCCACTGGAGGGAATTACATAAGAGATGTGGGGATGGAGATGCAAGCAGAAACCCAGGCATGCACAATGGCTACTGTATGCTAGAAAAATTACTCATAAAGCTTGAATTTTAATTTGTAACGTCACAATCGCAGACTTTTTTTTAATTTCTTGTTCATCTTTTGTTATTTCGCGTGGTAAGTGGAACCTGTTTGTCCTGCATTCAGCTCGACACGTCTGACACTTTTTTCTGTGAGAAAAAAGGACGTCTCCAACGTGATACGGACACCGTCATGTTTCACAGTGGAAGAAATGTGTTCAGAGTGATTTGTTGGCATGTGTTAGTTTTCCCACACATAACTTTTAGATGTAATCCACAAATTAAATTTTTGTGTCATTCGACCGGAGTGCCTTCTTCCACATGTTAGCTGGGTCACGACACCAAAGGCACGCTTATTAGATTTTTATTTGCACAATGTATATGCTTTTATTTTGCTTCCAGGTCATATTCATGTGTTCCCTTTTATTGACTTGACACACAGAATCATAATAAAATATGCTACATTTGTGGCTATGAAATGGTAAGCGGTTTGTCAGTGAATACCTTTGCAAGACACAAATGTGGGAGTTTGTGAAGTCTGTACATTTATTTTAGACTTCAATAATGTGTCACAACAAACAAGGAAAATGCATTACATAGGGATAAAAAAAAAGGCAAAGAAATTCCGCTTCACTTTGCTCTCAGGAGAGATGTTGTATATGGCCCCTGCACTGCTGAATATTTCAAACAGCCAGAATTAGACCCCTTCGGAGAGCCACGTGAACGAATATTGTTGGTTTTCTGGGATCCACCAGCAAGACATCCAGAGCCAGTGAGCTCACACTGAGAAGGAACAGACGTCCAGCAGAGGAGAATCTGAAGACTCAGTGGGAGACGCACCCAGACGTCCACCTAAATCCAGTCAAACCCTGATTAAGTCTTTGACAAATTAAACCAGCGAATCCTCTCTGTCCACGGCCCTGGGACCAGATTGCTGCGGCTGTCCATGCAGGACGCACACCACTCAGAACTTTGATGAGGATTTAGAGGCTGCCATGTGAAGTATTTAGATGCTTTACAGCTCAGCAAGGGCTCTTCGGGTTCCACATTGCCATAATTTTCAGCCCCACTGGATCAGACCAGATTAAGTGCAAATGATTGTTTTCACTGTGCTTCAGTCCCTTGCAGCAGTATTTACACCCTTCGAACCTTCCCACGCATGTGAATTTTTGTCATACTTGGAGACTAAATTTCCTTCCCAATCAATACAGCTGAAGCTCAGTCAGTCAGCAATTATCAAGTCTTCACACAAAGTGTTCATTTGATTTAAGTCAAGTTTATATGTACAACACATTTCAGCAGCAAATAGATTCAAAGTAATTTACATACCAAGAAAAACAATACGTAAATTTAAGTCTTTGAATGGTCAAATGTCCCCATTTGACCATTATTCCTGGTATCTCTGGTCTTTGCGGTGCTTTTTGTCAGCTATTTTCTTCATGTGTCAGATTCACAGAACAGCTGGATTAATATATCCAACCACACACACAATTCCAACAATGAATCTGAAGACAACTTTGTCGCAATGGATATTATCCAGTGGTTTTAGGATAAAGGAAGCTAAACATACCCAAGTGCCACATTTAAAAATATATATATGTATATATATTTTTACATCCCCATTTCCTTCCTTTTCATCCTCTTCACAATCATCTACTACCTTGTGTTGATCTCTCAAATAAACTCTCCAAGACGATGCTGTGATGTTGCAAGTGGTGCAAGGTTCAGAGGATGTGAATACTTCAGCAAGTCATGATTAGAATAACCAGGAGGAGAAGATTTCCCTCTGAAACTTCATGGTCTGAAACTTCATGGTCTGAAACTTTGCACATGAAGAGATTTTATTTGGACAGAAAGTATTAGACTTAATTAGAACATTATGACTGCACAGACAGACAGAGAGACAGAGAGAGAGAGAGAGAGAGAGAGAGAGAGAGAGAAAACATTCCAGTCCACTCAGAGAAACATTTATAAACAAATTCATGTGCCAGCCAAACCAGTTGGGAGCGGTATCCATGGTAACCCACACTGAGTAGGAGCAAAAAAAGGAGGCAGGGTTGATTTGAAAGGGAATAAAGTGAAGGACTGACGAGAGTTATCCGCGGAGGCCTTAAGATCGACGTCACACCGTGTGCGAGAGGCGGTGAGGCGAAGCCGCTCCGTCACGCGGCGTCGTGACGCCGGGAGGAAACGCCGAGGCGAGCATGTGCTCCACGGAGCAGATCACCTCCAGCTGACACTGACAGCTTGAAGTAGAAGAGTCGTGTGCATGGCAAATGAGATGGGAAAAAAACCAACAACAAATAAAACAAAACCTGACTGCAGCGATGCGGCCTCGCTCTCGGATCCTCCTACTCTCTGTGCATTTGGGTCAAAGTGGGGAACGGTGCAGATATTATTCATAGCTTGCGCGAGCAAAACACAACACTCCTCTGTCCGGGTCTCTGGAGTCCCGGCAAACACATCCCGTGGTGAGATTTAATTAAATCTCCATCGCACACTCCCCCTCTCATCCTTCATCATCTGCCATTTTGGCCGAGGAATCTCTCAGTCACGTGTGTGTGCAGGTTCATTGAAGGACCACTTTGGAATGAGGAGCCGGGGCCTCTCAGCGGGGGCCCGCTGCTTTCAGAGAGAGGCCCCCGGCGATGCGAGTTGTTCGCGCTACTGCATTGTCACCGTGATGTTGTTATGTAACAAAATAGAAATAGAAGGCGGTAATGGTCCGTCTGGAGCAGCCAGCAGCCTCAGCGTGCAGTTTCATGTTGTTGGTTGTTTTTGTAAAGCGGGGCTGTCATTAAGGTCCCCACTATTCGAGACCGGACAGACAACAAATCTTTTGTGCCTCCTCGAGGGAGAATCAATGAGCGCCTTCTAAATATGGATATCATTCACCGTCCTCCCCGCAGCAGCGGCACAATGCAAAAAGCAGTACTGGGTTGCACTAATTGTGCAGAGCTGTAAAAGCTCCTGTAAAGGCTGGAACAGCCTCTTCGGGGCCGCGGGTTTTTCAGACTTGCGTCTGCCTCTCTCCATCCCGTCCAAAAGAGAACAGCCGAGACTGTTTTGTTATCTTCTGCGCTTGAATGAAGACACGTGACGAGGAGCTGGGGACGCTTCTCTCTGCCCCGGACAGCGAGGAGCTCTGTGCAGTTTGCGCCAGTCGCCCGTCAGACTGCGTTGTGCATATCCGTTCGGACGCCCGCTTCTATTTTTGAGTTGATGCAATCTTAATACTATGTGGCTGAGCTCCCCGGTTGCAGCCTGGCACATGCACGACGCACCTGCAGCTTCCCTGGGTTGTTTAAATGGGTCAACTCTACAAATATCCTGGATCTGAGAATAAGTCGTGATACCCCCCCTCCAGCACACACACACACACACACACACACACACACACACACACACACACACACACACACACACACACACACACACACACACACACACACAAACACACACACACACACACACCAACTCCTACTCTCTTGGCGGTAACAGAGCAAAACTACTGCCGGCAACATCTATGCAACCTTTTGTCACCAGCAAAGTCATGAAAGCTGTATCAGCAGGATTACACACAAAATACCGCCTGTTGTTATTTTTCTCATGAATGAATTTTTTCCTAAGCTCTGAAAAGCAGCCTTTGGTGTTCTGGCAAGATATTAAAGTCATTATTTTGGTGCCGTCATTAAGACAGCAGGAGAGAAAGCCCCACCTTCCCCCACCTGGACCCCCTCCTCTCCGATTGGATGAGCATCCTTCCCACTTTCTGAACCTGGATTTTCCAGGAGGGAACAGCGCTGTCTCTCCAGGTGGAACATGCAAGGCAGCAGCAAGAGAGAGAGAGAGAGAGAGAAAAAGCACTGACCTTTCATGAGTGAGCATATATATCATTCTGTCTGCAAACTGTATTTTACACATTTTTTTTTTTTGTCTGCAGCCGTAGATGTAGAAGCTGATCCATTTAGTGGTTAAAACTGCACCTCTTGTAGCTGATGAGAACAAGTAAAACACTCTGCTTGGTTCATCTGTAGAAGGTGTCAGCTATGTATGCAGAACAGGGCCCAAGGGATGAGTGTGTGTCTGGAATGGTGGCTCACATAGTACAATGTATTAGCCTTTCTCAGCTGCAGCTGCTGTATTTAGAATGAAAGCCTTTAGGAAAGTCAGACTAAAATATGCCAAATGACATCATATAGCAAGAAACAGGCCACTGTCATACCGAAGGTGACTTGACTTTATATATATATAGATCATAAACTTGTATGATTGCAATTTAAGTGTCAAAAGTATCCTAAATGAAAATAAATTATTCAATTTTAGAAAATATATTTTTTCTACTGAAGCCTCTCAAGCGTCACAAATACAGCAATTTGTTGTTGTTTTACTTTACACTTATAAGCCGTTCATAAATGTGACCGGAGTGCACATGATGCTATTGTGAATTTTTGACAGAGAAAGAAGAAATCAACCTACTTTGACCAATTTAATGTGTGAGTGGTTCTGTGCTGCTGGAGGCTGCAGGCGACAGGCTGATGGTCTGCACCACCTTGTGGTCAGAGCGCAACTGTTACACTAACTAAACGGTGAAAACCTTTTCAGGTCTGTAGTTGTGGTAGTTGCAATTATTTCCAAAGGTTTAAATAAAAAAATAAATAAATTAAAAAAAACTTTACAGCATGTTATTTTTAGCTAAATACCACAGAAAACCATATTTGACCCTAACAGTGCATTTCTCCTACACTGCAAGTTTGTTCATTAATCTAAGCGATCCCTGCCAGGTCTTCATAGCTCCACAAGAAGAAGAAGCACAAAGATATTCGTATTTGGTCATAGACTTTATTGGACGTGTCAATGTTTCAATAACATATTCATTTTCACATGATATAGCTACATTGCATATAACATCTATTTTCTTTGTACACTTAACTCAATAATCCACCATAAATTATACGACACATCGTCTTGTCTGCGACGACGAGGAACCTCGGGCGTTTGCACTTTTTCACATTTAGGGTGTAACGATTTAAACATGAGGGGCATCAACCGACTGCTTTAACCCTTTCACAGGTTCGTAATGATTTTATATTTTCTCAATGATTATACAGTGCAATAGGTAAACAATAAAGTCATCTGTATGAAAACAAACACAAAAATTTACATTCACAGTCAGATATAGCCACAGTAAAGGATCCAAATTGATGAAAACCCAAAGAAAAGGAAACTTCATTGCATTGCTGCCTCTGCTCATTCAGTGCGCCTTGCATGTTTTATATCTCAGAGTGGCGAAGAGGCCTCTGAGGGTGATATATTTTTTAAAACAACAATCCATGGTGAATGCGGTGGCTTGCTTTTGCACATTGCTGATTTTGCTGATAGACTTGCGATAAATCGGACAATAATATGCGCCGACAGTGAGCTGCGAAATTTTAAAATGATACCCTGAATCAATTGGTGCATAACATCACAAGCCCCATTCTGCGGAACCTCGGATTTTACAAAGGCAAAGCCAAAACAAGTAAAGGAGCCACTTGAATACCTTTAACGTAAAAACTGAACAATTCGCCAGCACACCTAACATCAATAAGCATGAACAGCAGCCAGGGGGAGAAGCTCAGAGCTCTTTACAGCACATCTAGTCGGTTTGGACATTTTGCACATTAATGCACTGTTGAGCACAAGGAGTCACTGTGGCTACACAAACAGACCCAATAAACACAGGCAGCGTGAAGGAGAATCTGCAGAATCAATATTTTGTGATTATGCTCTACTTCTCTAAAAAATAATGATAAAAAAAGCAGGTTATTGCAGCTAAACATTAATGTCCGCATGGAATGCACTCTTTTTGGAAGACATGTTTAGCGTCTGGTAACAAGAGTTGATTTCCACTGGCAACTTGGATTTCTGCTGCGGTTAGAGAAGACTTCTGCAGTGATCCTTCATTACAATTGTTTTGCTGCTAACACTGCACACACAAGTCTCACAATAACATTCCTTGGCTGAGTATAAGGGTAAAAGAATAGGAAGTAGATGCTGAGATTCATAAAACAGACTCAGGTTTGGAGTGCAATGCAGCCACCTCTCCTTGAAAGTCAGGGCCATTGCAAAACCTGTTGACCGCTTTCTAACTCCTGGTTGGTGCTGCTCCCCTCTGCACCTCAGCACCACCTCTGAGAGCAAGAATAAGTGAGCTGTCGCTAGACCAAATGCCCCAGTAAATAAACCTGAAAATGCAAACTTCACACATTTGTGCATGACATTATTTTCAAGTAAGATTTTTGCTGAATATCTGTGCAAAAAGTATCTGAAACGACGTCACAGCAAAAAAATAAAAAAGAAAAGAAAATAAGGCATGCATGTCCCTCATCATCTGTAAACAGCCACATTATGCCTGAAAATGGAAGACCCTCAGCCACGCACGAGTGTCACAATCAAGTGGACATCCCTGAGACAGCTCCGTTTGATCTGACGTTCTTGTCTGTCTAAGCTGTGCTTTCTTATGTCCTTTTTTTAAAAAAAAAAGTATTCTCCTTCTTTAGGTGAAGAGCGTTTCATTCGTGTGCAGCAAAAATGAATGGAAAGAAAGCGAGAGTGACGACATACCCACGACACCTACGAAGCTACTTTACTGACTAATCCACTACATGTGACGACACAGTTACAAGCGCCGGAGTGAGATGCTGCAAAACGCAACAGTTGCCTCCTATTGACATGCAGCTACGACATCACCGTGAGCAGTCGAAATGGCTCAAACACATCTAGAGTGTCTGCTAACACTGCGGGGAGCTGTGGAAGTGGACTGTACAAAAATTATTGAGGCAGGCGGTGGTTGGATTTTGCACCTTTCAAGTCAAATTCCGACAATATTGAGATAACAAATCTATTTTCGCCTCTGCCATAGCCCTCAAGAGATCAAAAGTTGGTTTTTTTTTTGTTCTTTTTTAATCAACAGCATTTTGCTACATGCTGATTATTGAGACTAAAATTCAGCTGCTGATATTTTGAGTGGGTTATAGGAATGTGTTTTGTCAGAATCCCCAGAATGGGGGTCGGTTCCCCACTGGAGTGCACAAATCAGGATGTGTGAAATCTCAAAGTCTTCCTCCCAATCAAAGCCGATATCAAAACGGATCATGTTTAGAGTGTTGTAACATAAAATAACTTAACAGCAAGAGATAAAATAACACATTTGTTGTTGATGCTATTTGCATTGTCAATATTTCACTGTTTAAATGACTTTTTAGTGATGCTTATCATTAATAATATCCCAGCTAAGCATGGGTTTCTTTAAGGTTTCCATGATATGATAACTGATGAAAATGCCATAGTTTCATATTAGCACCCTGTTAATGGAGAAAGTATACCAAGCTATGAGATGGTAATACCTATTATTTAAAGCAGGAAAAACAAAATAATATATATATTAAACTGCTACAAAAATGAAGTAGAATATTGATTATTATAGTTACAAGAATGTGGAAAAATATATAAGTGGGAAGCAGCAACAGATGTGAAATTGAGCTCGGAGTGTCGGGAGAAAACTCGGGTCACTCTCTGACACGTCATCAAAAGTACTTTAGAGCACAGGAGCAGGAAGATGACAAATGTCTATAATCTGGTAGCCGTAATTTGATAAATACCTTCAGATTTGTCTGAAGGTAGTTAAAAGTCTCAACTCCCTGTTGAGACTTTGAGCTGCTCCCATCTGACAGAAAACATATTCTGTCAAGATATAGAACAAAAATGAAGAAACTCTTTATGTAAAATCTACATTTTCCCTCCTGAATGAGCGCTTGTTTACTTTCATTAAGGATTCGGTTGTTATTTGTTGCTATATTTTTATACATCTTACTATTAGCAGTTCTGGTTTAGTATTGAGCTGCAATGACGTTTTATACTTTTAGTGCTTTCTCGATCTTTACCGTCTTTGAGTTAAAGTGTGTTTATGAGCCAATGAAGCAATGGTTCATGGGAGTTTTAACGTCCTAATTACCTGCAGCGAGCTGAACTGTTTAACTAACGCTGGCTTGTGCAAGAAAAGGAAGAAGTGGAGATTGCAGCTTCAGCTGTGGTATTTTTTATTTCCGTCTCCTCCTCTACTCTAATGCTACACCATTATAGCTAGCTTCTTATCTTAGGAATAAAACGCAACACTCTTTGCCTTTGCATCACTGAATTTGTTCTTAGTAAAAGTTGCTACATCACTTTATCACCACAAGAAGGTTTGTACCCCACTTCCTGTAATCAATTTTGTTGCCAAAGAAAATACTTTCTAACATCTCATTTCAGGAAAACGGAGCACATTTTTGTTTTTCACTTTTATTTTAGGATAACTTGCAATAATTGTCGCTGGATCAGGATTTAACGGAGGAATAGGAAACATCTTGTACTATTGTCCTCATCCCAATAACGATTGTACAGTCCTTCAGATTTTTGACCACAAGTACCACAACGGATTTACAGCACCAACAAATAAGAAGTAGTAGCATTGTGTTGCTTTGTTTCTGATTTTATTTCATGGTTGTCGCATGCACACATATAGGCTTTTGTGAGGTTTGCTATGATGATCCGGTTAAGCTTTAAGCAAGGCGAGAAATGTCTGAAACATCACATCATCTGACTCTATTCTACCTTTTTGTTCACTCTAATAGATATTAGCTGTTTGGGCAGTGGGTGTCAAGTGTGTACACTTTCATATTACACTCATAAATTGGAGATTCTGTTGGTCCTTGCTCGTTTCCGGAGTGGGGTGGAGAAGGGGTGTCTGTCCATCAGTTTGCCTGTCTGTTTTTCTCTCAGCTGGAGGAGAAGAAAGAGGGATGGGAGGATCTGATGCCAGCTCAGTCTGAGAAGAGACTGGCAAAAGATTTGCGTAGATTGCGTATGGTTTCAGCCTTCACCTCGTCCTGGCTAAGGCTGGCTCGGGGCGCTGGGGTTTCTGGAATGTTGAAGGTATTGGTAAGAGACTGGGATTTGCTATAAAGAGAGGGAAATGGCAATAGAGGAGAAGGAAAGGCTATTAAAGTCATGCAGCAAACCAATGGAATGAAAAGACTGGAACACAGCAAGGCAAAGACACAGAGATAAAGGGAGAGAGAGAGCGATACAGAGGAGGAAAGACTCAATAAAAGATGAAAAAAAAGGTCATTCCTTCTCCCGGGTCATTCAGAATTACCTTATCATTTCAAGTCAGCTTTGACATGATATGAATAGTGAATGACGTTTTTTTTGGATGCACATTGGTGTGTGTTTTGTCTGGGATTGATCGTGAAAATATGTTTGGCAAAATACAAATGAACAGAATCCAAATAAAAAAGGGACATCAGAAAATTGTTGGCTAAAGAATGGAAAGAAACTCTTATGGTGTAGTTGTATCTGTGAGTAATAAATGTGTGTTAGCTTCTCCTTTTAGACCTTTTCGACAATCTGGTGTGGTTTCTGTGGTTATTTGAAAAGAAGAAATATTCTGCATACATTTGTCACGAGCTATTTGTGACTGTTGCACTCTTGCTTTGTTGCAAAATCGACCTTTTTTTAAATTTACTTTGCATAAGATTTCATTCAGAAAGCTTCAGTAATGAAAACATCTTGCCCTGTGTCTGATAAAACACAGGAGGTCCAAACTATGATACAAGTACCATCATGTTTAGTAATGTGGATATGGTTTCTATTCTACATATTGTGTTTTTCTTAATACAAAAGGCACAAACAGTGTAATTTGAAACATAAAACGTTATCCATGAACCTGCCAGCTTGTTGGCATCTGTCCTAGCATTTGCACAGTTGGCCTTTAAAAGTAGCGGTGGGAAAGGTTCTCACTTTGGAGTGAATTCTGTAGGTTGATCACTACTGCAGAAGTTAGAAGCTGTTCTGAGCGTCATTCTTTTCGAGATAGGGTCGACATTTTTTCTTTATTTTTATGTCTATTTTCTCATGTGCTCAGATATGTAGTTCAACAAATAAAGGATTAGACTTTTATAAGTATCCCCCCGTTGTGTAAACAGACGTCTTTACCAACCGTTTATTAAGTTATTACCTGTAATTTGGTGTTTAAGCGTGTCCCTGAGAAACCTGCTTCAGAGCAAGGATTTTGAGACTTGTGTCACCTGAATTCCTGTTTGTTAAAAACTGCCTGTCGTTTTAATGTTTCACAACTTCACCAGACAATCTGACATGTTTCTGTTTTCTAAATCTAACTGCTGTAAGAATGACAAATGTAAGAATCAATACAGCATGCGCATTCAAGTGGATAAGCCTCTGTATGAGCTGATTTTTTTATTTTTATTTTTTTGCATGTGGTATGCATGCCTCAGTGCAGGCAAAAAAAAAAGAAAAAAGGTACGAATAAACATTCTGTGGATGTCAGTTCTGAGGCTCAGAAAGTACAAATGAGATGGTACTGATCCAGTTCATTGTTCTGTTCTCGTGAGCTTCTACTTACTTTAGTTGTGGAGAGCCGCCCATAGCCGGGCTGTCCTGACTGGGCTTCTGTGGGGGCTGGGGCTTCTGCTGCAGAGGGGGGCGTCCGCCCGGGCCACCCTGACCTTGGGCGGCGGGTCTCGGCTGCTGGGTGGTCGGAGGCCCGGGACGGGCTGGCTGGACCTTCTGTGATCCTCCCTGCGACTGTTGCCTAGGGAGTGGCGCCGGTTTCTGCTGCTGCTGTCCACCGGGAGGTTTCTGACCGGCAGGAGGTTTCTGCTGCTGGGAGACAGACTGCTGCCTCTGAGTTTGAGGGGAACCTCCCTGGCTTCGCTGAGGAGCGCCCTGACCCGGGGCTCGGGTTTGGGCTGAAGGGCCCTGGCTCGGCTTGGCCTGAGAAGCGGGCTCAGCGGGAACCGGGCTGGCAGCAGACTGCTGAGCTGGTGCAGGAGGCTGGCCTTGAGGCTGGGGCCGCTGCTGGGTGGGAGGACTTTGTTGGGGACCACCTGCAGGAGGTAAAATAGGGCACCACTCATATTCGTACACCGTGACATTACTTTCGTTTTGACTTTTTCAATAAATACAAACGATCAGGATAAATCACCCTGAGGGGAGGGGCGCTGTTGAGCCTGTGGCACTCTTGGCTGTGAGACAGGCTGAGGAGAAACTGCTTTCTGCAAAACAAACAGATGGCTCAGAAAATGTTGCATCTGTCACAATATGTACAAATTATGCAAGTGGAAGAGTCCTTATAAAAGATTAAAGTTAGAGATAATTATAACAACACTAACTACTGAACTGTTATTTATTAAGAATTAAAATGTTCATAATACATGACTATTCTTATCGGTTTTCTACTTCAAATACAGATCGTCTTTATTTTCACATAAAGAGTAAAACACTGTAAATTGGAGAAGTTGAACACTACTTTAGTCAAACACAGACCTTCACACCTTACATGAATCCTCCATTTCAAAAAAAGTAAAGAAGAAACATTGTGACAGGAGTTGTAATTACAAAGAACGATGGAGAACAACAGAGTGTTTTTTTTTTTTCTTTGCTAGCGTGAGCATATTGTGCAGGGAGTTTAAGCACCTGTGCTGGCTGTGCCGCAGCAGCGCGAACCGAGGAAGAACTGGGAGTACGTGGAACAGTCTCCTGCATCTTAGAAACGACAAGTTCTGCAATCTGAACTCGATCCTCATCCTGCTGGTCCCCAATCAGTGGCATCGAACAGTCGTCAACCTAAAATGCAACACGATGTTTAAAATTTTAAGAAACGCCCTCGTAATAGTAGACAAACGTCAGCATGCTCGCACTGCGAGAAAGTACCTCGATAATGTAGTCTTTGCCATCTTTGCCATGCAGAGCCTCAACAGCACAGATGTCTAACCCGCCAAAGATGTCTGCGCATGAATCCACCCACAATTTGTACCTGCAGCCATGTGTTCAATAGGAATTCTGTCAACCTGCCAGGTATACTGCTTAGATTTTAGTAGCATTCAATCACGTGTTCTTACTTGTCTGACATGGCCACCTGCTCCAACATAGAAGAGCCCGTGTTAGTTTTCCAGTTTCCAGAAATGGAGGTCCTCCTGATAAAAACGCAGTTTACGATGCACTCCCAGGGAGGTGAGTGAGGGTGAAATGTGACGTTCGAAATCACAAACAAACAAACTGACTCACATGTAAGCCTTGTAGCTGTTACCAATCTTCTGGATGCGGACGTCGTACTTTGCGTCAATAAAAGGCTCGGAAGTGGCGTAGGTCTTGGTCAGCGCCACAACACTGGCGATATCTTGAAAGTCATACTGATTGTCCACTTTCACCTAGTGTGAAAACACACATTTGGTAGAACTCGTTAGTCCCATATGTGATAAAGGGTTGGTCATCCCATTCTTACCTTTCCCATTCCTGAGTGAGCATGGCCCATCTTTACGACAACAGGGTACTTTGGGGCGCTGATCTGTAAAAAAAAACCCAAAAAACATTATATTATGAACTACCACATCATTCGATCCCAAATCCAGAACTCTGATGGCATTTGAAGAGATTGGTTACAAATTTTTTTTTAAAGTATTATCCTGATAATTAGTTGAATAGGTAAAATAAACGTTTTTGGGCTTTAGATCATGTTATGCTCTTACTTCTTCATCAAATCCGGACTATTGTTTTGACTTATTCATGCATATTTGAGAAATATCAAATCTCCCGTGGCAACCATTGGTAGGTACCTTAACGCTCGCTCAGATCACGCTCCGCCCACTTTCACAAAGAGATTTGTGGGCGTCTCCAGCTGAGCTTCCACCCCACAAAAGCAACCCAATCCACACAACTCCACCAGTTCTGTATTTATGTAAGTGATGCTCAATTTGTCGCAAGGATCCAAATCCCGTCGCCATGACAGCGTCACCATCAGCAGTTGATGGAAAGAAGGCGTGGTCCGTGCTTTCAGGTCATTATCCTCAAATTCCAGCCCTGCCATCTGACTATCACAGCTAAAATCAAGACTGGTTACATCAGGCCACATTTTCCCAACCTGGCATTGTCTAGGTTTCTTAAGCCTTTCAGTTTCCTGTTCTCAGCTGCTGTAGTCCTTCTGTTTTAAGGTTCGTCAACATATGTTGGTTTTCCACATATCTTGTTTGTAAAGAGCTATTCTTGCCTTTGAGTCATCTCAACCAGTCTCGTCATTCTCTCCTGACTTGTGCCATCAACAAGACGTTTTCATCCACTTGACTCCCGCTCGCTGGACGTTCTCACTTTCTCAGACTGTTTTCTGTGAATGTGAGACGCTTGTTGTGCATAAAAATCCCTTCATTCCGAAAATTGCTGACGAAAACCCATGCTTTTGTAACATATCATTCCTAATGATTAAAACATCAATCGTTTAAATCCAACAGAGAGGACAGACACGCAGTCATTCTGATGACTTGAAAGCCAGCCCAGTTCTGTCAGCCTGAGACTGCAGGGGTGGAGATGACTGTTCAGCAGCAGCAATCTCAATGTTCCCGACACTGACTCGGCAACCCAATAATCAGAAAACTCTGCCGCCACAGGAAACAACCCAAAGAGACATAAGCTCACAAAAAAAGTCAGACTGGCTTCAGCTGCTATGTGAAACAAATCATGAATTACAGCTGGACATCTGGCGCCTCAGTGGTGAAGAGGAGATTTCAAAGAACTCACCATTTCCTTGTGATTTGGATAGTAAACCTGCTCAATCAGTGGGAACTCCTCCGGGCCCAGCTGCTTGTGGAGTCTTGACATCTGAGCAAACTGAGGGAGAGTTTAACCCTAAGATGCCACTCTGATCGTCTGTACATCTGGAAGCTGCTCGCTGTGGACCGAACAGAGTTTTTAAAGACCACTTACCACCCACGGTTTGTCACAGAAGTTATAGACAGAGTGCAGGGTGTTAACGCTTGGCAGGCCAGCATACTGCAGTCCGATCACCATGTTGCGATGGTCTCCGTTCCTGTCCATACTGAACGCGTGCTGCCTGATCAGCACGAAGTCTGGCCTGAAGGATCTGGCACAGAGGACATGAGGGAATTGCTGGAACGGAATTTCAGAACCTAAACTTTGCAGCAAGGTGACATCGTCGAAAACTTAAAAACAGGACTTACTTAGTAACCTTATGCCCATTCCTGATGGCGTCAATGTTGACGTTATAGGTGCCGCTGGCATTGGCCACTAGGTTGATCTCTGAGAACTCTGCCTGGGAAGAACCACATTAAATTTAAACCCTTTTCAACTGTATAAAACTTGCATTAATTGTGAGGGTGCATGAGCATAATTCATAGCTAATCCATCAGGTAGACTGATTACAAGCTATTAGTTACTGAAGAGATTGATTTGCCCATCTGATATACTGCGAGATTAATAGAGTTCATTTTGTCACATTACGCCCACAAATCTCTGTGATAGAACAACACATGTAATTTATATGTTTTCCTCTGACTTAAAAATCATTATTACGGTGGATCTATCAGATCCAGTCCAAGTGACAAAAAACAAAGTTTGCAGCAGAACAAAAGGTCAAAAGTTCTGGGGTAAAAAAACTTTTGCAAGGCACTTTAAGTCAGAGCCGAGACTTACAGGGACCAAAATACACACGGATAAAAGTGCCTGAGGCAGGGAAGAGGATTTTTGAAACATCTGGGCGCATTCCTGCTCCTGCTCCTATAAATAACCACCGGTTTAAAAGTGCAACCACAAACATTAATGGGCAACACGTCTCTGCTAAAACTATTGGCTAAACTACTCCTAGTCAGTCATCAAGTCACATTAACAGGCACGTCACTTGCGTAATGTATGGGACAATGCATAATGACTTCATAGTATATTAATAAGTACGAAAGCATTTCACTGAAAATTAATGCAACTGTGAATATCAACTCCAACTCGATAGTGAAACGGACCCTGAAACATTTATTGTTCAGAGCTCTCTGTGAACGTGGCAGCTCATTAATAATGCCACTGCTTTTTCTTTTCCTGCCTAGAAAAATAAACCGTACACTATTTCTGTTTGGACATAAGAAGATCCGAGGCAGTGTTGTCCATCAGCAGGCAAAACACGCTACAATCTCATTTAAAAAAAAAAAGAGTGCAAAATCACTCTCACTGAAGACTCCATCAGGAAAACTGCTTGTTTCGTTTTGTAAATTCACTCTCCTGCTGAATAAAACTTCACAGTTGGGTTTAAGACATACCTGTTCTATTTTGATGTCAAATTCGCCGTGAATCTTTCTTCCTCTGAAAACCTTCACCCTGAATGTGAAACAAAGAGGTGAATCAATGTGTTTGGTATGTTTGTGAACAAAATGAAAAACAGTTCAAGCTTTTTTTCTCTCTCTCTATTTTTTTTTCTTCTCCAGCTCAAGCAGGACATTTTGAAACTGGGAACAGTCTCGTCTTTGACACATTCGGGCTGCTGACACTTTGAGTGAAATCTGAAAGTGCAACTTAATTTTGTGCAACGCTGAGATTTGCATTTGGCAGTGAGACATTTTGTCTGCGTAGTTCTTGCTTTATAAAAACGTGCAGTTCACATGGCCGCGCAAACTTTTACGCATTTCGCCGCAAACTGAATTGCATATTCCTGGGATTTTATTTAAATTGTGATTTTATTTAAATAGTGTACACTTGTGACATGGAAGGAAAACATTACATGGTTTTTAGAAACTAGGAATGGGGAAAAAAAGGGGAGGATCATTTTTTATTATGTAACACAACTTTTCACTTTAATACTGTGATTGCAGCTCCATGATATTTGTGTTATGTCGCTACCAGGCTTTGCGCTTCTGGAGGCTGATGTTTTTAACTCAATGTTCTTTGTAAAATAAATCAAACAGTAAGATTGGAGTGTTTATGAAAACCTATCCTGAGGTCTTGTGATGTCCAAGCTAACATTTTCATATACTTTGATGTGAGCAACTGCATTACTCATCACCACTAAACAGGTTTTCTTCCAGGACTGCCCTGTATAGCTTCAAAAAGCTCGATTTCTTCTAACCAGAGCACATTCTTCTGCAATGCCTCTTTTGTTCTTTCATGCTTTGTGTCAAACTCTCTATGTTGAACTTCTTCAGGCTTTACTTTGTTCTTACCGCTCATTCGTGAAGGTCACGTTTGGGGCGTTCATGAGCTACAGTTGTCCAATAAAAGAGAGACTCCAATATGCGTTGTGGATCTCTGCAGCTCCTCCAGAGTTAGCGTGGGCCTTTTGGCTTCTGATTAATGTTAGGTTGCGTTTAGCTCGTGTTTTTGCTTTTTTTTCTCTCCAAACGACAATTGGAAAAACAGATGTTTTAATAAAAGTCCTTACAACTAAATCAGGCATGAAGAGTTGTTTAGGTCTATGCGGTCTATCTAACAAACCTCTGCTAACAAAAAAATAAAAACGATGTATTCGTTTCATTCCATTTCATTTCACAGTTATGCATGAAACAAATGCACTGAAGATTGTGGTTGTGATCTGGAGTGTTGGGGTGTCAGTGCTTTTTCAGTGTAGTGTAACTCTCACACCAATCAACGACCGACTGCAACCTGGCTCTGATGCAGAAGCAGGGTTTTCTTTCTTTTTTTTTTTTTTTTTTTTTTGCATGCAAGTTTCATCTTTGCCATGTCACCAGCGCAGGAGCACCCCTCCTCATCTAAGCATAAAGCCGTTCGGCAGCTTCACGCGCAGCGCCCCTCGGCATCACCTGGATCATATGACCTTCCAGCTCTTGCCCCACTGCAGTCCACAGTGGACCTGGCACACATCCTGCGTCTAGACGGGCCGCAGACGCGCGCCGCTCTCTTACCAGTCGGTCTGCTGGTCGTCGATCACCAGGAGGATCTTGCCGTGGCTGGAGACGCCAGCCCGGTCCGCCGCCTCGGACAGGGTCGCCGCCGCAGCGGCGGTGGTCTGCTTGACGGCGTTGGATATGGAGGAGAAGAAACCGGAGCCTCCGCCTGCGGGCTGCGGCTGAGCGGCGGGCTGGCGCCTCTCCGCCGGCCCGGGCGACACTGCGGGGCTTTGCTGCGGCGGGTCGGGGCGTTGGAGGTCGGTCATGTAGCCATTGGGCAGATTGGATATGAAATTGCTATCCGAGAGACGTCGACGCAAGTAATTCATGGTGGAGGTTTTGTTGAAATGACGTAGAGAGAAGTAGGTCCCAAAAAAATAAAAAAATAAAAAATCCCACCTACTGACACAGAACTTGGTGTTCGGTGAGAAAAAATAAATGATTGGACTAGTTTCCCATGTGCGCAAACGGGAATCGCCGCCACCTGAAAGAGAATGAAATCGGGTTTTATTAATTAGAAGGTGATGATTAATGATTTCTGTTTTTTTTTATGAATATAGTAAGAAATCGTGACTGCTTCAAAGAAAACCAGCCTGCAAGATTACAGCTGAAACATGCACAGGTTAAATCATTCGTTCCTATCACATTAATTCCGTTTAAAGGAGGCTCCCCCCGCAATGAAACATAAAATCAAATCAAATAAGCATCAAGCTGAAGCCTACTTGGGAATGTATCCAAAGTGATCCGCCCCGAGGATGGATGAGGCGATGGTTTCCTACTGGACAGTGACAGAGGAAGCCCGCACGCAGGTAACCGTCATGTCCTCAGGCCGTGAGTCCGACTTGAGACCGGAGGAAATAAATAACAAGCGACAGTTTTCCCAGCGTTGCCCGCCGCCCTGCTTTCTTCCCTTCAAGACCCAGTTTTTTCCGTCTGCCCTGCGTCACTCCCAGTCATCCTGAGGGGAGAGGAGGCTGCGAGGCTGGACAAATTGTCAAGGCAACGCGAGGATGCAGGAGCTGGCTTCCGGTGCTGCTCAGAAGGCAAATGCATGCTGTGAACATGACGCGCTTTTTTTTTTCTTCCTGCATTAGATAGCGTTGCGGAAGCGACAAGAATTTAATTCACTCGTGCCCAATTATTCCCAGTAATATGCTGATAGACAAAATAAATACGATTCTTATCAAACTCGTTCTGGTTTTGTCCACCATTAATTATGAGGGTCAAAATCAAACTTCCTGTGTTGCGGCTGTGTGTAGGTGCGTTTGACACAGCAGTGTAATGGGTAATGAGGGTGGTGCTGATGAGAGCAGTCACAGGGTCTGAGTGCCTCTGACACACATGAACCAGCTGCTGACTCCAGGGGACAATCAGGTCTGCAGGTTGTACGGGATCCCGCTGGGGGCAAATAGAAACACATCTATTTGTTGACGAGATGCTCGTTTGATTTTCAATGCAGTCTGTTTTTAGTGATGCGCCATCTGTTGGTGATCAACAGACCACCCCCTCTACATGTGCCCTCCCCTGGGAGCCCTCGATCCTCTGTTGTACTATGGAAACTATATTGTGGTGGAAACTTGACGATGATCACAAGGAAAACAGGCAGTCCTGCTATTCCCTCTTGAATCATTAATACAATGGAGGGTGAATGTATAGCTCGCCTTCTGCTCATAAAATAAACAAGAAACAAACAAACAAAAAATTAATCTCTGGATTTTTGCAAGTTTTTTGACTTGCATTGTGCATCCTGCAAACAAGTCATTCAGAATGTTTTTGTCAGGGGTGACCAGACACGCCAAACCAAAAGCCGTGAAATAATTACATGAGCTTTGTTTCAGTGTCAGAAAAATAGCTCTTAAAAAGAACCAAAGCATGATTCTTGATTTGCTTCAACGTGTCTCTAAATTCAGGAACCGCTTGCGAAATGGAGCGGCAGTAACTGTAGGGAAACACCAGCAAGAGGCTTGTTTCACCACTCGTGTGTTATTCTTTACACAGACGTCTATGCAAAGATTTCTGTGTAAAGTTGTTTTGTTTTTTGACTACACAGAAAGACTCGACACAGAAGTGTAACCATTTATTGTTAAATTATTACAATAAAACCATTTTTGGAACAACATTGTCCTCAAGTGAAAACGAGATTTGCCAAGCAGAACTTGAGCAAATCAAACAAAAGTTACACAGCTATAAACATGAGGCGTCTGTCTGAGTCCCTAAAAGGGAGCCATCAGAAGAGTTACACAAGAGTTATCTGCAAATATATATGCATTTTTTGTTTGTTTGTTTCTGTCAGGGTTTTTTGTCCCACCCCTTGGCTTTAAGACATCATGATTCTATGACTGTTAATCCAGCTCTGCAGAGGAACACAAACTTTTTGTAAATTGCCTGATTTTTTTCTCAGAGTGGTAATAATGAGAGCTTTATTTATATTACTCGAGAAATCCAATGCTTGTCATTTCAGTGGTCATGTCAGCCAGAGGTTTTGACATGGTTTATGTGTTTTCTCTTTCATGACGAGCTGAGCAAACACAGCTGCTCCTACATCCCGAGACGAGAGTCTTGACGCCTCGCAGCATGATCATTTTAACAGTCTCAAACTGTTAGCGGTCTCTCACATGATGTGTCCGATTTCCATTTGCATTACAGAAATACTTTGAAAAGGTGAGCTCACTGAGTAATGTAAGTAATTTGGAGCACAATGCTTTCACCTTGACCCGGTCAGGACACACAGGTTCAGGCAGCATCATAAACTGCATTCATTACAGACGTTTGCTCTCAGACCTGCTTGTCCACTCACAGATTCCTCGCATTTTCAGGCGAAATTCCTCTTGTTGTGAAATGTGAACTCTGCAAAGAATTTGTCACTGTGTAAACACGTCCTTACACATGTGTACCTTAAAACAGGAATGTTTCATCCCTTATTATTGAGACACGCTGTGGAAAGTCTTGTTTCTCCGGTGCATGTCGACATGAGGCGGCGCTGTTGTGCTGAAAATTAGACCCCGGTTTTATTCATGAATGCAGTTCAGGCCAGACCTTTGCAGCAGGGAGTGCTTTGAGATGTCGGCCAATATTCCTCGTGCATCTCACAGCGGCGCACACAGTGCGGGTTGTTTGTTTCCCATACCGCCAGTGTCTTAGTGTCTGCAGATAAGATTGTTCTCATGCCTGCAGTATTTCCAGAACTTAGGAGTCTTTGTCTGGCCGCTGACAAAAGCCTTTGGATTAGAGGTGAGGCGGGCTCACAGTACAGCTGCAAGCGTGTATGGGCAGGTCAGTGGAATGACTGAAGCCATGGTGGGCTAAGTACTCAGAAAAATGCAGTTTGGTGAGATTTCAGATGTGGGTGGGTGGGGAGAAAGAGGGAAGGACAGACAAGGGTGGGCAAGGTGTTGATTCCACAGAGGGGAAACAAAAGGCATTCCTCACCTTTAAGGGTATTTGAAACCCCTCTTGGAAAAGAAACATATATCCCTACATTTTAAATTACCTTAGACTTGGGAGCATATCGAAAGGATTCATGAATGCTCTTCTGCTAGGAGGGAGCAGTGTAACCCCGTGACATTTGAACAACTCAACTTTCCACTTCAGAAACAAGTTTTCCTGCGACAACTTTTACTCCTCACAAACACCGCAACAATGGAGTGAATGAGCGCGGCCCGTCTGATTGGCCCGGAGAGCAGCCAATCTGAGTGCAGGGCATGAGTGACATGTCGAGGCAGTTCACGCTCACCTGACACTTTACCTACCTGAGCGCAGAACCAAGAATCTCATTACCCTCCCAATAGAAGCCATACCTAAGGTTCAGGTTCCTCCACCGGGTGTTTTTCTCTCCACTCAGACAAGGTCCAGCAGCCATGGCTGTGGCCAACTTCCAGTACATTACCCGGATGAGCAGTGGCTTCAAGGTCTACATTTTAGAAGGTGAGTTTGGAGAAGCACCTTCTCTTTATTTCTTTGTGTTACTTTGTGATGTAAAAAAAATACGTTTATGAGCAGTAAAAGTAACTGCTTTACATTTCAGTGATATCTGTCATGAAAACAAAGTCATTACCTGTTTTTGTTCCACTGCTCTGTGCCTTTGTTCTGTCAGTGGTGTCTATGGGAATACGGTGACAGATAAGAACACATTTCTGATCAAACTGAGGCTAAAATCAAAAACGTACAACGGACGTTTCAGATGAATATTGTTGAATTGGTACTTTTTTTTTATTTTTAATACAGAAAGTCTTGTCAAGACTAAAGTAATGAGGGACACCACTTTAGACCTTCTTTCTGAAATGCCAACAAAGGAACTGTAAAGTGTGTGCCGCTTTTGGATTTCAGCAGAACTTTGATTACATTTAGCAAAACAGAAGGTCACGCGGCACACACTCACAGCTAATAAGAAAAAAAATATCCATGCCCGAGGCATTAGAAAATCGGCATAGGTGTGGTTATACCTGCTCCCCCTCCATAATGGCACACAGTGTGAAGGAGCAGCACGCAGGTGATGGAATGTTTATGCAATGGGTAACGCAAGCTGACGAGTTCAAGCAATGACACTGAATTCCCCCTTTTTTGTCCCGCACAGCGAAACAGATAATCACCTATTGTTTCAGTCCAGGCAGACTGTAGTGGATGTTGTTGTCTTGCAAACTGATGAATCCTCCAGTCATTTAGTAAATGTGGACTTGCAAGTGTATAGCGAGCGTACGGTTTAACAACGGTGAAGCGTGGGGTGATCACAATTTCAAAGGAATGTTGGTGTTTTGACTACAAGCATAAAAGCATGACATCCCATCGCAAACCCTTATGGCATATTGATTTGGTTTAGTGTGCGCTCTGTTTGGAATCAAATGCAACCATCAAAGACCTTTGAAAATCACCTTTTTTTCAAACGAGCGGCCTTGAGCGACATCGAGCTCTGGCAAGCTTGTGAATTCACAAGCTTGTATTCAGCTTAGCAGAGCCAAGCCAACCTCAGCTCGTGTGTTTTGACTTGAGTAGTCTCGAAATAACATTTTCAAAAATAGGTGCACAAAGGGGTTCCGATATATTGTAGTTAGAGGTGTTCAAGTGTTCGCCTTTCTACCCCACAAAATGAAATTTAAAAACTGTGTCGATCGTATTCTTGGAGGCGTGTGAATGGGCTGCATGCCAACATTGAAGAAAAACAACATTTACCGTTAGTATTGAATCAGCTGTGAAGTGTTGAAACCCTCACTGATCAGGTAGATCGAGTTTAGCTACTTAACGGAGCTTACAATTAACGGTGAAAAAAATAAATTTCCCACGATTAGTTGTCATGCAGGTTGATGTCATGGGATGAAAACAACTGTTAGTCACCCATAAGTGTTAAGTTCTTTCTAACAGATAAAAACACTATGACAGGTCACTTCAGATGAAAAACTTTTCTGACTGTCTAACTGTGGCCCCTGTTTCATAGGCCAGCCTCATCTCAGAGGTGAAGACCGGTACAGACATATGGGGAACGAGCGACCTCGAGCTCCGGCTGTGTTTCCGATCAAACGCAAGCGCAACTACGAGAGAGGCCTCACGTTGGAGGAAAGGTCAGCAGAGCTTTTCATTTTTGCCCACATATATGCAAGTTTTCTTGAAGAAACAAAGACGTTTCTGATGACTATATCTGTTTCAGGCGAGAGCGGGCGATAAACAGGAACAAGATGGTCCAGAGGGCTGGTCCAGTGCCTGCACCCTTCAGTAACCAGCAGAGTCTGTCATCCCCACAGAGCCCAACGCCTAGTCCTACCAGTCCTTTCCCCCCCTACGTCTACTACACACCAGTCAGCGATGAACCCCTGGCACTCATCAAAAAACCAAGGAAAGACCCTGAGAATGCAAGAGAAAAGTCTGCGGCCTCTGCTGCCACTCAGATCCAGGTATTTCAGCTGTTCTGAACAAGGACTGCTTGTTTCTTCAAAAGGCCAGATTTTGACTCAGATAAAGGAAGTTTAGGCAGTCATTACTTTTGGAAACGTGGCAGCTCTGATGTTCCTTTTAACATCAGCATAGCTTGAGGGTAATGCACAGCAGGGGTACATTTGTACTCTTCCGTCAGTGAAATCTATGGAGTGCACACAGGCCTAAGCTTGCCTGAGCAATGCAA